AAAGACAACAAAAAAAACCAAAGAAAAGAAACAAATAATTTTAAACATGTAACCATAGGTCAGGTATCTAATTAGGCTTTGTATAATCAATATAGATTGTTTCATTGTATTCTCAAAATAACCTATAAGGGAAAATGTGTTATCTCCATATAGTGTAAAAAAAAAACCAAAGAAAAGAAACAAATAATTTTAAACATGTAACCATAGGTCAGGTATCTAATTAGGCTTTGTATAATCAATATAGATTGTTTCATTGTATTCTCAAAATAACCTATAAGGGAAAATGTGTTATCTCCATTTTATAGGAAAGGAGACCAAGGTACACAAAACTGAAGAATTTTGCCCTAGAAAGGTTAAATTACAACTAATAAGAGATAGACTCACAAACATATATCAGTCTGATTAGAAAGTCTATACCTGGATTCTTTTCTGCCAGAACTACTATTTTCCAGTAATCAGCTAAAATCAAGAACACAGAGGGACAGAAGAGTGGCACCTGATATATGTTCTCTAGAATTTCAGAAAACATGGAACAGTTTTTTTGGTCACATGCATGGGAAATACAAGAAAGGTAGTATTAGGGGGATGGGTGCTGTTAAAAAGAGGATGCCTCTCTTCCAACCCTCATCAGAGAAGTTTCTTTCTATAGAAGATGGCAATTAACACAGAGGCCACAACTGGTCAACATGCAGAGAATAAAAGACTGCAGACTCTTTAGCCCTAAATGGAACATCTATATCAGACTCCCTCTCCTCCTAAGGCTCAGGGATCATTGCAGAAGAGGAAGTGGAAAGACTGTAAATGCAGAGGTGGTGGATGAGTTGAACAAAACAGTGCTTAGTTACACATAAACTCACAGTAATTGTGACAGCATTTACAAGCTAAAACCAGTCAAAATCCAAGCATGAAGGGGCATGATGTCCCACTCTTGGTGAGAAGCTATTGTCAATTGATAACTGCTGAGGGAAGGACAATGAGTTTTCTTCAGGGATGCGGAACATGAGAGGCTACCCATGCTCCATTGTATAGTTCTGACCCATGCGCATGAAAACAGTATTAAGTGGACTCAGTGGGTGAAAGAAAACAACACATGAAGTTGAGATGGAAAAATGATGGGGAGAAGGAATTGTATGGGAGAGAATGTGGATTGGATTTCATCAAAACACATTATATGCATTTACGAAATTCTCAAACAATAAAAAAGGGAGGAAAAATGGGCAGGGAATGTCTTACAATGATATAATGGCAAAACGAGAAGAGTCTACAGTACTGTCTATTAATCTATAGGTATTGTTGTAAACAAGCATGTTAAGGGCAAGATGTTAGCCCCCAAAAATATTAATGAGCCCCTATCAAATACTATAAAGGCCAAAACAACATCTTGAAGTGTATTAAGGAAAATAAATGACCAGGAAAAGAAGCAAGTCATAGGTGTCCACCAACAAGTGAAGTGATAACGAAAATGTGATGTAGCTATAACACACACACACACACACACACACACACAGACACACACACAGACACACACACACAGACACACACACACAGACACACACACACTCACACTGGAGTTTTATTCACCATAAATAAGATGAAAAGTGAGGCTGGAGAGATGACTTAATGACTTAGCTGTTAAGTGCACTTTCTGCTCTTTCAAAGGACCTAAGTTTGATTCCCAGCACCCACATTGAGCAGCTCACAACTGCCTGTCACTCCAGCCCCAGGGGATCCAACTTTCTCTTCTGGCCTCCATGGGTACCTGCACTCATGTTCACATATTCTCACACAAACATACATGAATGCACATCATTTAAAATAAAAATACATATTTTAAAATATTTTATTATTTTTATTTTATGTATATGAGTGTATTGCCTGCATGCGTGTAAGTGCACCCATGTCATGCAATGCCTATGGAGGGCATTGGATTCCCCTGGAACTGGTTATTAACCACCATGTGGATGCTGGGAATTGAATCCAGGTCCTCTGTAAGAGCAGCCAGTGCTCTTAACCAGAGCCATATCTCCAGCTCAATAAAACTAATCTTTAAAGAAGTACAAAAGTATGTCATTTTTGGGAAGTGGCTGGAACTGGATAACATCATGTTAAAAGAAATAGCCAGACTCCAACAAATATCACTTTTTTCCTCTCATTTGCAGAATCTAGATCATATATATGTATATACATATATGTATGATATGGGAGTTAAGGGGGGACTATTTAAGGGAAGGAAAGAGACTAAGGGGTGAGGAAACAAGAGAGGGTAATGAGGAAAAACAAAAAGACAAATGTGATATTTTCTCCATGGTGTGAACACCAAAGGCAGACTATTTGGGGAAAGGAGGAGGGATAAAAAAGGGTGATGGAGGGTGGAGGATGAATATGAGCAAGGCACAAGGACATACATGTATGAAAATCTCATAATGAAACACATTACTTGCTAATCAAAAACTAAAGAAAAAATTTTAAAAGAAAGAAGCCAAAGAACAAGGCACCTGTGTTCAACTGAAGCTTTAGCCTCTGAGAAGCACACTTTGAGAGGACCCACAGGTAGGAGCCTGAGTGCCTGGAACTGATACTCTATGAATTCATGCTATAATAGGACTCACAGAAGATAAAAACCTCTGATATATAAAAATAAACGACAAAATTTAAATAACCAAAGCCTATGCCTCTTCCACAACAATGTTGCCTGTTTATAGATAGTCACGTTAGGAATTAAATGTCTCCCACAAATCAGATCTCACTGACCATCTTCTAGACCCAGGCTTTGATTTCCTTCCTCACCATCTCTTCAAAGCCTTCACAGACTGGGGCAAGGATCTTTCTAAAGAATGATGGCCTATGGAAGTTTTAATCCACTAACAATCCAGGTTGGTCAAGCTCCCACATATTCATCTTCCATTGCCTCAGGTATCTCTGAGGAAACCCACTCAATATTTCCCATGGTAAACCAGAAAATTCTAAGTTAGGGTTATAAAACTTAGCTATTCATTAAAATCATTTGTGAATTATAAAAAGAATCCTGATGATCTGACAGCATCCCAGATCTGTTATATCAGAATTTCCAGTAATGACACTCAGGCAAACTAGAATCGTTGAAGCTCCCCAGGTGATTCCAGTGTTCAGCCAAAATTGAGAACCACTGGCACAGAATTTCCTTCAACCTCTGGTAGCCACATTGACGTAGTGATTTCCAAATTCCATGTCTGTAGGAGCTTCCTAGAGCACTTGCTAAGACCCTATATCCAGAGAGTTCATATGCAAGTCTGTTTCCAGGAGTTTGCATCCTTAACAACCATTCTAGATCATTTCACTGCAAATTAGTAGTAAGCCACATTTTTGTGAAATGTTGCATTATAAGGCATAGAAGTAGGGTAGAAACGGGGAGTCTCCATCCCTTAAAGGCCTGATTGGGGGAGTTCCTTTAAAATTGTGGGGAAACTCTGGCTAAGGCTGCTTCCTTTCAATCTATTAGACTGGATGCAGTCATCATCCTGGAATGGACTTCTCTTTGTTTACTTCAGCCTTTAAGAAGTGCTATGTTCCCACCACTGGAGAATAGGTAGGGAATTCTGCCTTGTACCACTTTCTGTTTCTGTTTGTTTTCATGCCAAGAAGCTTAGCAAGGAGACCTGCTTTGGCCCAGAAGATTCTCCCACAGGAAGTAAGATGGGATCTGCCTACCTGCCTTTCTTTTATTTCTTGCTGGCTCCTTGGTATTTGTTGAACCAGGATGTGGAAGGGGTCAGAGTGATGTCCTTTGGGCTTGGTTTGAAATGTGTTGCCAAACACCAGTTTTTTCAAGATGGCCTTTCTCACCATTATTAGAATTCTTCTTTGTGGACTGATGGTTTTTATGGAACACAGGGTTCAAATGGCAAAGGCAGGGAAGCCCTCCACAGCTTTCCTTGCTGAGGAACCTACATTGCCCCTGATTCAGGAGCTGGTAGAAGAAGCCCCTGGCAGGGAGGTGAAGCCATGGCCCCAAGGGTAACCTGCATTACATGCTAAAATTGTACCAGCTTTCAGCTGATCTTCATGGGCACCCCAGGAAGAATGGCATGATCAGGGCTAATATGATGAGGCTGGTAAAACCCTTGGCCAATTCAGTAAGGCCTATCAGAGTTGAGTTCTTTTTTTAAAATATTTTATTATTTTTATTTTATGTGTATGAGTGTTATGCCTGCATGTAGGTAAGTGCACCCATGTCATGGCAGACAGAAGATGCTGTCAGATCCCCTAGAACTGGAGTTACAGACATTTAGCTGCCATGTGGGTGCTTGGAATCGAACCCGGGTCTTCTGCAAAAACAGTGTTCTTAACCGCTGAGCCATCTGTCCAGTCCCAGAGATGAGTTCGTATGCCCTCATACAACCCTGTAGGATAGAGAAGTAGAGAAGAATGTAGACATAAAGAATTCTGGGTTTAGGGTCAGGTCTCCTTGCCTGGTAGGCAGATTGTTTGCTTAGGAATGGTTTTCAAAGGACAGCAAGCTTGTGAAAAGCTGGCTCCAAGTCTATTTCCCTTTAGAGCCCCAGCTTAAGAAAAAAATTGCTTTAGGACCTACTAAGCAATCTTTCCCAGACCACAGGACAGCTAAACATGCTATCAGCCCCTCTATTTCATAGCTTGTTATACCTCTGAATACAGTTTGAGAAATACCCAGCCAGCTGCATTCTTGTGGAGGGCTATTTATGTGGTGTTTGGCCCTTTGAAGGAAAAGACTAAAAGATACCAAGTTAGGAAAAATTTCATGGCCTCAGACAGGACAGAAACAAGCTAACATCTGAGGGTCAATAGACATGACTCTATGATGTCTGTTATTCTAATGAGAGCTACCACCATTTGTTATGGAACTATTAGCTTAATTTTAAAGATAAGAAAAATAAGGCACAGAGAGGTTAAGTAACTTGCAAGTGTCCCATAGACAATGGATGGTAGAGATGAGATTTAAACTTACTCTAAAATCTGATAAGTTCTAATCTTTAAACGCAGTATCCCAGAGTGGTCTGCATCCTGATTCTCTATTGTCAATTTGGGTAACCTCTTCAGAGGATGGTGTGATAAGAATAGGAGATAGGAATTGCCTAGGAAGTTACGGTAAAAAGACCACAAAGAAAAGTAGTCAGTTTCTTGGCTAAAACTCATTGTCCTTGGGCCTTTTAGCAACATACTCTGTTCCAAGGCCAAAAATATCGAAAGTATTTGGGAGCTTGTACCTAATCCTTAAAAGATTTTAGGGTTACTCTTCAGTGGGGGTAATGTTGGAGGGGAGGGAGTGGTCATATATTTGATCAAAACACTTTATATGCATGTATGAAATTCTTAATAAAGTTTTTATAAAAAGAAAAGTATATGGCTGAGATA